TTACTGGATGTAAACATTTAATTCACAATGACAAACATAACTGGGTTTTCTGCTTGAGAGTTATCTGGAACAGAAAATAGAGTCCTTCTAAAAGATCCACAATGGGGACATATTCAATACACTTTTAAATTCACTTATGGGTAACAAATAATTTGGACAAACACCATTATTAGATATTTAAACTATGAGCTGATTCACTTGAGCGAGTATGATAAATCACAAATATTCATGTTACTTGATTAGATGAGCATGCAAGCAGCTTTTAATATCTGATATCTAAAATCGATGTTCTGAAAGTCTATTTCTATGATCTCAGGCCTGCATTTTTTAAAATCAGCAAGCAAGAATGCTACTAAATTTCAATAGCTAAATATGCACAGAAAATATGTACTGATATGCTTTTTTTTTTTTTTTTTTTTTTTTTTTTAACTTGCTGATGGAGTATTTGTGGACTGTTTCCACAATATCCTGCCAAGCTTTCGTTCATTACATAATGTATATTTTTGCATGATCACTGTATTAGGCTCAAGCTCAAAAGTTACATGTATTTATGAGGAAAAAAACCAACAAGGAAACAAAAAAGAAGATTGGAACACACAACATACAAACAACTCAATGAATTTTGTATGATACTTTGAAAAACAGAAAGCAAAATATTTAGAGTAATCCTATATTTTTGCAAATCTTCAAATACATTAAGGGCAGAGAAATTCAGGAAAAGCAAAAGTTGCTAGAAGTGTTGAATAACCAACAATCTGAAATATGTAATTCTTGTAAAATATGTACACATTCTTGGGGATGTAAGGACTGACTTGAACAGAAAAAAAAAAAAGAGGGAAATCTGTGACTTTGTGTGTTTAATGAAAAAAAAAGTCATTTCTGGAAGGCTTTGTATCATTGCTGTGCTATGTAGAAAATTATTTTTCTTTCACTGTAAAACTGTTAAAGAGCGGAGAGATATACACAATGTGTGGGAGACTTAGAGACTTCCTAAGTACTCAGAACACCTAAATTTGATTCCACATTTGACCCTAGTAGCACTGTTTCATGCCTGGCTTAATCTGATCTCAAACTGCTGTCATGGAAAGGAGCAGTCCTGCCTTTCCCATCTCCTTCCCAACCAAAACTTCCCATTCCTGCCATCTCCCTTGCATGAGCTCTACTGACTTGTGTAGCCATAGGGAGATCAGGTTGTCCCACTGATGTTGCTGAAAACTAGTAATTGAAAACTAGTATTTTTTTCCCCCAAAGGTTAATGTGGTAATTGAAAAGAAGCAGCAGAATGTGATTAAAGCTGGTCCATGCCTCTCAGCAACAGGTTGTTTTAGGTCAGCTTAAATTCATCATGAAACTGAAACTTCAGCAAGATGCCTAAAAAGATTATATGAATAGCCAGCCAGTCTTTGGTTTCTCACTTTAATAAAAAGTGCTGATAATGAGAAATTTCTTAGCCAACTCTGACTTGGGCTTTTATTCATTGTTCTTGCCTATTAATGTTTAATGTCAAAGAATATATAGATTTATTTGAACTGTAGTTTCTTTTACATCTGTTGAACATAAGTTCCAGAGTCATATTTACCTCTTACTTCCTGTTCTGTTTTCCCTATTTTTCCCATCTTACTGTGATGCTGCACATTATATCATCAGCAGATATTACTGTCAAGACTTACATTGATATATCTATATACTATTTGTATCAGAACACTGAATAGAAAAAGAGATTCTACTTATGATGTTCCCAATAAAGCCTCTTAAAAACCTCCTCGTATTCAGGCTCAGACATAATTCTCCATTCTTATCCAGCATGTTTTTCCCAGACAACAAACAACACCATTTTCTTCAATGTGACACAGACCTGTAATACCATTCAAGCATTTCCAGAGCTGTGCAGTAGTGCTGTGCCTAAATCTGACAATTTTTTGCTTCATAGTGTCTCTGTAATATGCTGGTTCTCTTTATCTTGTCTTTACCTGTTATATCTCAAAGCCTTTTTTTCTTTTTCTTTTTCTTTTCTTTTCCTTTTTTTTTTTTTTTTTTTTGTCTCTAAGCTTGACTAATGAAATCAGATCCATTCAAAACTCCACTGCAAAGATGGTTTTCTCATTCTTGTCTTCGACAAATTTATCCCTTCCTGTACACTAACACATGGGCTCCCTGTTCTTCATCGCCTGCAGCGCAGGGTACCGCTCTTCCCACTCAGACTTCCTCCCACTTGTTTGTCCCACTCATCTCTTCAGATCAGTTTTAAGATCTTCCCTTCATTTCCTGTCATGTTAATATCTATCACACACCCATTAACATTTTGGAATATGCCTTTTTGAGCCTGCTTCTTACATTGTGTTGAGTTTTGAAGGCCTTCCCTGTGAACCTACGCAAAGTTACCATGTTAGCCTCCTGTAACCACTTCCTTAAAATTTCCATGTGTAAAATTTCCTGCAAATCTTTTGAGAACAGTTACACTCCAGACTGCTGCCAGTCCATCATATTGATCAAACTGGTTTTACAGTTCCTTTGTAGTTCCCTATACGTAAGCTCAGTACTACAAGATACTTGCTGTATATACCCTTAAATTTAAAGGTTTTGGCAAAAAGGTTATCTGTCTTTTCTTTCCCTTTCCCTTTTTCCCTTTTCCTTTTTCCCTTTTCCTTTCCCTTTTCCCTTTTCCTTTTTCCCTTTCCCTTTCCCTTTCCCTTTCCCTTTCCCTTTCCCTTTCCCTTTCCCTTTCCCTTTCCCTTTCCCTTTCCCTTTCCCTTTCCCTTTCCCCTTCCCTTTTTCCCTTTCCCTTTCCCTTTCCCTTCCCCCTTCCCTTTTTCTCTCTCTCTCTTTTTTTTTTTTTTTTTTTTAACTTAGTGCAGACTTAGGGCATGTCTTAGCCTATGACAGAGTTTATGGTTGACAAAGTAAGAGGAATATATTATGATAAATCAATAATAGTAATTTACAAGTATAAGTTACCATAACTGAAACTCTGCTTTTATTGCTTTAGTATTAAATGTGGGACCAGAAAATTTTTAGTGCTTTTTAATTTAAAAATCTCCTTATCCTTTTAATAAAAATATTACAACAATACGACAATTCTGGCAAAGGTTCTGTACTTGAATGTTGTGAACAATGGAGAATAAACACTGGGATAAAAGTCACTGGCTGGCATGTGAAGAAGTTTCCTTTTACATCTCTTGGTACAGCCCTTGGTGACAGAAAATGGTCATGAATGGAAGTGAAAGTTGCTGTGAGTATTATTATGGTGGGAATTCTATTCACTTTTCAGATTTATACTAAGGATAGGTTCAGTTATCTAATTACCTAAAAGCAAAAATACAATTAATTTTAAATTTTAAGTGGATACGTGGATACAGAAGAAACACCAGTTTTCCAGGCTGGATTCATTTTTACTTCTGTCATGCCCCACCCTGAAACATACCCTTTAACACATGAAGTCCTCTGGACGCGTACGAGAATCGGGCTGATTCGTTGCATGGAGGTCCTCAACCACTATTGTCTAGGAGAAGCTAGACACAGCAGGAGTAGCAGCAGTCTAACAGGATGTTCCTTCTGACACCATCAGAAAGAGTTGCTGTGTGATTTAAACATTTGGGCAGTCTTGTCACTATGCATAGTATAAAGTATGAAATAATCTGTGTTTGTCTACAGCTCTTCTGTTTCCTTAGTTCAGGTAAGAAATTGCAACTGCTCCACAGAGAAAGCAAAAATAATGACTGGAAAAGATGCAGACATCCCACATCTTCATAGAATCATAGAATCATTATGGTTGGAAAAGACCTTCAAGATCATCTGGTCCAACCGTCACCCTACCACCAATGTCACCCACTAAACCATGCCCCTAAGCACCAGGTCCAACCTTTCCTTGAACACTCTCAGGGACGGTGACACCACCACCTCCCTGGGCAACCCATTCCAACACCTGACTGCTCTTTCTGTGCAGAAATGTCTCCTCATTTCTAACCTGAACATCCCCTGGTGCAACTTGAGGCCATTCCCTCTAGTCCTATCACTAGTTTTCTGTGAGAAGAGGCCAGCACCCAGCTCCCCACACCTTCCTTTCAGGTAGTTGTAGGGAGCAATAAGGTCTCCCAAGCCTCCTCTTCTCCAGACTAAACAACCCCAGCACCCTCAGCCGGTCCCCACAGGGCTTGTTTTCCAGGCCCTTCTTCAGCTTCGTAGCCCTTCTCTGGACACACTCCAGAAGGCCTTGATGTCCTTCTCGTACTGAGGGGCCCTAAGCTGAACACAGTACTCAAGGTACAGCCTCACCATAGCAGAGTAGAGGGGGACGATCACTTCCCTGCTTCTGCTGGCTGCACTATTCCTGATACAAGCCAGCATGCTGTTGGCCTTCTTGGCCACTTGGGCACACTGCCAGCTCATGTTCAGATAAGCATCAATCAGCACCCCCAGATCTTCAATAGCCTCATTTTAGCAGAATAAAAATTTGCTGAGATTGAAAAGTAAATGAGCTAGATCCACTACCACATTTGTATTACTCATAGAGTTGGACCTGATTATGTCTTCTGGCATCAAAATCTAGTGATCCATGCAGGCAGCCCTCACTCAAGGTAATCAGCCTTTTTAAGGGCCTTCTATTTTCCAGTGTCCTCTTCAATGCTAACATAGAGACACACCGCTTCAGGAGCCTGCTCAGAGCTCCCTCAGGGCTTCAGTCCCTTCATTCTGGGTAGGCCAGGTGCAGCCTATGACACAGAGACTTTTTGATGAAGCAGTCAACACCTACAACTTTAAATATTTGTTGAGGGGAAGCTTGGGGGAGTAATTTAACAGGTGTATTTGTGCCTGCAGAAACTTAGGGGCATGTTGATAATCTGTGCCAGGACTTGTGCTGCTTGCTAATATCCTTGCCAAAAGTCATGGAGCTCAGATTTACACAGAGTATATTTGTCATTAGGGTTGGTATTCATCAAATGTAACCTCGGTATCTTGTATTACTAAATGTTTTGATGTGAGTTGTTTTATTTTTTTTCCAGAGATAACCCTGGATTTATCTTTAAAGCACTCAACATCCAACCCCCCTCTTCTGTTTTCCCTTTGCTTAGCACCCAGCTCTCTGTGTTGAGTGTGATGGGTGACCTTTTTAAAGAGAGACATCATCAGAAAAAGTTTCCTGACAGCGTCCATGCTCTTATGTTTTGGAGGTAAGGAATTTTTTCCACTTAAAAAATCCCTTAAAATACATAAAAATCCTTTAAAATACATAAAAGTTTTGTATTCATACTGCTATAACATGATGTTTGCAACTTAAAGGGGTGGCCTTTCTATGAGTCTCCAGCATATGAGTTTTTATGTATTAAGGTCTGTAAAGGGGATACCACTTGCGAAGATTTACAGTGTTTCAGGACTGTGTGCCAGATGGTAAAAGCCATATGAGTTGCGAAGTCCTTAGAGATTTTTTTTTAGTTTGTTTTTGTTTATCATAGAGAATATGCTTCTGGGTTCATAAAGTTTCAGCATGTTCTGTCTACTGCGTCATGGAGAAAAATATTAACTCTATCCTGAATCCAGGCCACCAGGAGCTATAAAAATAGTATTTAAAAGAGGAGGTAGGCAGGCTATTTCCTGGGAGAAAAAAATAGTTGTTTTAAAATACATTCTTGCTATGTTGATGCTAAAATTAATAGGTTGTTATTATTGTTATTCTCTGAAATGATCTATTCAGAAAATAAAGCAAGTTTCTTTGAAACAATTATATTTAAATACTTTGTTTAGCCTGTTTGCCTGGAAATGCAGTATTGTTTTTACTACAAAGAATTGCTCATATTTGGATCTGAGCATGCATTCAAATACTGTTCCATGTACATTCAAAAAAATCCCAGAGTGGCTTTCCCAGTCAGAAAGACAAATAATTGGAGATATTCAGAAAGCCATTGCAATTTGAGGTCACAGGCCAGGCAAGTCAATGTAATTCATGATGCACAGTGGGCTTTAATGAGATTCCTAAGCATACCCTGCAAGGGAGTATGGCCCACTGTATATGGTAGGAGGGGGATAAACCCTTGATTTTTAGTACAGCAGATCTCCTGCAATAAAAAAGACACGCCATCAAATTATCTAACTGGACTGTTGAATTTCCATTTTCTTCAAAGCCCGCCAACTGCTCTGCTTGTGGAAATTCTTTCCAGTGAGGAGACTGTGGCTTGAGATGAAGGCACAGGACAAACTAGAGTCCTGTAGAGATCCAGGATGGAGGGCACCCTGAAGGCAGCGAGGCCCAGCAGGATTCAGCCCACTGAGCCGTGCTCGGACCACTGGCCGGCGCTGGGAGGGCTTAATCAGTTTGAGCATCGCTTCCAGCCTGCGGTCTGGGAGCTTCTCCTGGTTTCAACCCCCGCCGCTGAGGGCTCGTCGGCGGCTGGGGCCAGCCTGAAAATGGCGGCGCCACCAGGTGGCGCCCGCGCGCGCCCCCGTCGCCATCGGCCAACGGCCGGGGCACGCGGCGGCCGGCGGCGCGCGGGCGGCGTCCCCCTGGCAACTGCGCGGGGCTGGCGGGGCGGAGGCGGGCGCCGCCGCCATCTTTTCCTGTTTATTGTACCTCAAATAGCTGACCTTGGGAGAGGCACGGCCCCGCGCCGGGCTGCGGCTCGCTCAGCCCGGCTCAGTGTTATCAGCGGTTTGTTTTGCTGGGTTGGGAGGCTGGGAGCCACGGGGCCAGGCCTCTGCCAAGTTCGGGATTTTTCCACCAGCTACGTTGGGTTGTTTCCAGTGGCTTTTCGTAGCAGAGTCTCCTGACACATGGGTTAGGACCTGGGTTTAGAGTTTATATCCTCAGGGGTTCCTCAGAGAGCACAGTGCTGTGAAAGCGATCGGAGCTGGCCGCTAACAACACCCAGAATGCTACAAGTTTATATGAAAATGAAGTAATCTTAGATTCAGCATGAATATCAAAATCCCCCCTTTGTGCCTTGAGTCTGAGTCACTTCAGCTAGGCTACAGCTACCATTGACATACAGGCTATGGACGCAATCCAGGAAAACAAGATATTTTGAGACTGGTGAAGGGCACCTCAAGTTTGTGTTGTACACTGGTAAAATTACCCATTTTTATTGAAACCTGCAATTCCTGGGTGAACCACGCTGTGATAAATAGGGGTAAAATGTGGCTTGCTCGAGTATTAATAGTAAGCTGCGTATGGCTTCGTGTGAATGAGAGTTCAGTGCTGCTTGTGGGGGTGTTGAGTCTAATCCCAGCCATAGACAAAATTGACAGCACATCTATATGATAGTCATGACAGATGAACTGCACAAATGCTTTATATTAGTAAATTCAAAGTGTAAATTGATAGCTGCAATTCTGTTGTAGATGAGGCTGAAGTTTCAGGGTGCTGTTGGCTATAAGTCGCAGAAACTCAATAAAAGTCTCCTTTGCTTCTTTACTTTTAAAACCTGGGAAATGAACTAACTTGCAGTTTGTTATTTGAAAAGCCAATGTTAGGTGTCACCTGCCAATGCAAATACTTTATTTTTCTCTATTTCATTTTATTCCTTGACTGGGTCCTGGGCACAGCCTACAACAAAGCCTGGCACCCTGACAGCATTTCATACAGTTCACCAAAGCACCAAAGAGCGAAATCCTTGTGAATGGCACCAGAAGTAACCATTCCTTGTGCTAGTTTTCCTCAGGTTTACCGATACATCTTAGTTCCCCTCTTTAAGTCTACAGTAAAGCATTGAAGCTTTCTATTCACCCTCTCAACTACTTCAGTGACTTTTTATTTTTGTGTGATACACCAACTCTTGAGGCACCTTGAGACCTGGACCAAAGGCAGTTCAATGGCCATGGCTACTTATGCTGAGAATGCAGTGATCCCCATTATTTTACCTCTAGGAGAAAAAATTGCATCACCTCTTATTTAGAACCAGTTTGCTGACTTAAATGCCCCATTTTACATACTTCAGTGATTTTTTTTCTATTTTTTTTTCTGTTCTTTGAAAACAAAGATTTTATCAGCCAAAACCAACTATTTCACAAACATTAATTGTTGTGGAAAGCACCTAGGCAACTCAGTCAGGTACTGCCTAAGAAAGTGCCTAAAAGCTTTGAAAGTGCTACATAAAGGAGGAGCTCCACACCTGCCTCTTGCAGTTTATCTGCATTTATCTTGAAATTAAAAGACACATTTAAAATTAATTGGGAGGCTTGAACCATTCTTGGCAGAGCTGAAAAAGAATGATACCGACACAATAAAATAAAAATACTAAAATTAATGGGAACGATACAGAGCAAAAGCTTTGCAGAGGAACAGTGCCACACTTGTGGGGCCAGGAGAAACTGCTAGCTATGTTACTTTAAACTTATTTCAGGATCATCTGAAGTAAATGTAAAGATTTGTACAAATACTCCATGATTTTGATCAAGAATTGGCAAATACGAGATTTATCAGTGAACAGAAGTTAGAATTGTACTTGAACAAGAAAATGGGAAGAAAACTATCCTGTTATCATACTGTATTTTGAAACACAAAGAGAAAGGCCAAAAGAAGTCAGAGATAGTAGTCCAGAAATTTACCTTCAAGGTAAATTAGGTGTCCAAGACAGTTCATATGTGGAATAGTCATATATATAAATGAATCATCACAAAGTAGCCCTTTACAGCTGAGCAAGCAGGTGTATCCTATATTTCCAAAAGGGAACAGATCCATAAACTGAGAATCAGTGCAAATCTTACCAAACAAATGAGATTTTATTCCTTTTTTTTTTTAAAAAAAAAAAAGAAAGAAAAAAACCCCACAACTTAGGAGCTATTTTTCAAAAGTTTATACAGCTGATAGTTTAGTTGGCTAAAAGGAGGTTTTGGCTTAAAGGTGTAAGGTAAATATTTGCAAGGATCAAAGAGGTGGCAGATGAGGGTAGTTAAGAGGTAGGTACTCAGCAGGTTTTAAATCTGCGAGTGGGCTATTATCCAGGCAGGTATTGTGTCAATGTTTTTGTCTACCACACAACTAATGCCCCACCAATAAACGAAAATACGCGTTCACTCATGCTTTGGACAAAATGAATAAAACACACAGAGAGACCAAAACTTAGAAGTTCATGTTTTCCTGAGCTCCTTTCCCCTCTAGACTTCAAGAAGTTCTAGCCTTCCGTCTTGCCACGTCTTTCTCCAATGACAGAAATGCTTTGAGCTTTGTTTGGAGGCATTCAGGTTAGCCACAAAACTAAAGGTTAAGAAATTCTTTGCTTATGCAAAGATGAGCTCTCAGTCAGATCATTCTCATTCAACTAACTGCTGCACCTGGAGGTTTGTCTTAAGAGCGAGTAGAAGGAACTGTACTAGAGGGCTTTTCTTAGCCTTGTTTGCGAAGAGGACTTTCAGACCTGAGTTGCCTCCCTGCAGCCCTGACAGCACTTGTCTCCCCAAAAGGGATGGGATTCCATCCTGTCCCATCCTGTGTCACCCACACTGCTGTTTTGGCAAGCTGCCTATCTCTCAGGTTGCCGTGTTGCCTTTTTTAAAAATGTATTTGAACTGCCTTTCTCTGTGAGTTGTATCAGGATAGGTTCCACTGTGGAAACAGTAAACTAGCTCTTAGGTATTGTAGTACCTCTGTTTTTGACATCCAAGTGCTTCAGAGTTTCTGGCCGCAGATGTTCTGCAGCATTGTTTTCTTCTCCATGCCCTTTCAGGGAACAGCAACAGTGGGCTGCTCCCTAAGAGCAGGCAGATTGGGAGCTGCCAGTGAAGGAAGTCAAGGCAGTAAGGCAAGATCATGACCAGTGAGATGCACTATTAGGCACAAATGTGCAAGAAACACAGACACCTCTTGGGCAACAACCAAGAACAAGGGCCAAGATCGAATGCTTCTCAAGGCAAGGAGTTAAGGTCTTCCCGGAGGCCTCGCAACTCTTTCCCCACAGCCTACCCCAAAGTGACACCACTGCACCATATGATAGCTGACCTTGAGTACAGGTAGCCAAGCTCCTAGCAATTGGGCCTGGATTGAGTTTGTAGAAAACCTAGGTACCTTCAGGACCTGACAGACTTCAGCCATCCTCTCTCCTTCCCTGAATATAGGAAAAAAACAAACAAACTGCAAGTAAGATTTTTATGCTGTTCCTCCATGTTTTCTTTATATGCAGCAAAGAGGAAGAATTGCAACTTGTCACTGGCACAGAAGAGGAAGAAAACATGACACTCTTGGTATGCCTAGAAAAGCCTCAGAGGACCTTCAGCCTGAAATCTTGACAGTTCACTCCCAATGGTGTTGCAACGACTACCTCAGCTTCCAGCCTGAACTAAATCCTTCATCTGGATCCCCATGTTTTATTGAGTCAATGTGCTGCTTTTTGTCCTATCTTTCAGGGTCTTTTAAGAGTTCCTAGGTCTTTTGTCTGTCATTGTAGCAGCTTTCTTCTCTTCACATACATTTTGCATTTGTCATCCTCTGATATAAATGTCTCGGTGCTTCGTTCTGTGCTGCTTTGTGTTTGTGGAGAGCCTCCCCTGAAATGGAGAGCTACTCATGCTCTCCTCCTTCAGATCTTCTGCCTAAAGATTCTTCCTAAGGAGGGTAGATTTAGATAATCAGTCAATTGAACTAATGATGGCTAACCTGAGGGTTAGGTAGGAAGTTAGGAAGAGGTTTTTTTTTTTTTTTTAATTGTAATATTTAAAATATAGTTTTGTAGTAACATGTCTTTTAAAAATGGTATAAGCTTTATGTTCCCCTTTTTTTTTTGCCACCCACTTGCTCTGTTTCTGAATTTCTATTGATATTTTAGGTACAGTCTTCATTTGATTTGGCCTTAAAAACATTTTTCTTAACTAAATGAAAGCGGTGCTTAAGAACATCTTAATTATGACTCTGATTTAGAAAAGCTAGCAATCATTTTTGTGTTTTTAAGTATGTGAGTACTCTACTAACATGCTTAAAATTAAGCATGTCCTGAAGAGCTTTGCTGAACTGAACCTAAAATTTCTGATGCACTTTCAATATAATTTTTGCCAGTATGATTTTGTTACCTTTTTCTTAATGTTAAAAAAAAAGGGAAAAGAAAGGCAAGGCAAGGCAAGGCAAGGCAAGGCAAGGAGGAGAAAAGGATTCCTTCTCTGCCCTTCTCTGCCAGAGATTTTAAAAATAAGAGCATTTGATTAATCAGATTAGGCTATGGGTCAGTTTTTTACCACTTTCATGGAAATTTTATTTCTCATTTGCCCTTATTTAAGCATTATCACTAAATTGTCATGAGGAAGAAGAAAGGTCTAAATCACTAACAAAGATGGCAATATTCAGCAAGTTCTGTAAAATGTTATCAGGTCCATTCAATGTGCTTCTGTTACTTAAGAACCCCCAGCAGCCTGGTGTTTCTCGAACTAGGCATGCCAGAGGAGTTGTATTTGGAACTGGACCAACTCAAATACTCCTAATGCATGGAAGAGAAGTCACTGAGAGTGTCATCAGTTAGTGTGCAGAATTGTTTTAAGCAGAGTTTTGAAAGAGCAGCCTTGGAAAATATGCTGCTTTCTGAGAATGCAGTTTTGTAACATTAATAATTGCTCTGAGTGGTAAATGACAGAAAATGAATTGGACTCAAATCCTTCACGTCTTCACAGGCCGCATAACTGAGACAGAGATTACATTTGGGTTTTGCAGAGATGATTAATCAATCATATAGTTAGCTGTAGCTGGTGCTTGTCCCAGGTGTTCAAAGCAGTACATAGTTTTTTTGACTGCTCAGAATATTAAAAAAAAATAAAAATATCGGAGTTAAATGGTTGTTTCTGGATTATCTGAATAAATTGTTTGATAACAGCCCACAATTGTTTTGAAGCAATTTCAAATGTATTCCATAAAGCACATTAGAACTGCTGCTTATCTCCCAGGATCAAATGGATAACCAGAAGGCTTTTGTACACACATTTGGACAGGTACTGGAGAAAATGAAATAGAACCTTATTTGTAAATACAAACCCTGTATCTGAGTCTACCATCCTGTTAAGTTTAAGTGAAGTATTTCTGAGCATTATGATTTATTATAGATGTGATTTATTTTGCACAGGAACTGGATGAGCACTGTAGAGGAAATAGAATCTATAATAAACGCCTCCTAGACATTCTGCATCCATCAGTAGGATATGCATGAAATTACAAGGGATGAAACAGTTAGGACAAAGGCATTGTCAAGAAGGTATACTGCTGGGAGCATGGCATTGCTGCTTTCAAAAGAAGGGGTGTAATGAAGAAATATATTGACCAGCTGTTACCAGACAGAAAGGTTCAGGAAGAGAAAAGTGTGCTGAAATTAAAGCTGATGGCTTTGCAGTTACTGGGGAGGAAAATGATTATGCTTTTTATTGGCCTGAAGGGGGTGTAAATGAAAATGTTACAGTAGAATGTGAATCTTTTAATATAGATGAAGAGCTGAGAATGAGCAAATGCCAAATCCCCTCCTAACAAGCTACCTTCAGCCATGGGGCAAATACAAAAACCTTCAAAACTGATTTATAAATATTCAGGGGGAACCACATTAGGCATATGTGGTTTTATTTTTCATGAATCTATTACAATGAGCAGTGGTTAAGTATGTATGTGGATATTTATAAATGCATGTGTATATAAAAATAACTCCGGATTTAGAAAGACTTTTAAATATGTGCTTAAACAAAGCCTGTATTTTAGTTCTGTTAAACTTAGACCCATGTTCAATTCCTTTCCTGATCTGGGACCCTAGGCAGTTACTTTCATTTTCTGAGCATCTTGACATTACTTGGAACTGGCTCTCCCAAAGACAGTTGCCATTTTGCAACACAAAGTCAATATGATATATTACGGAAGAGTATATTCTCATGAAGACTTTCCTATTGTTACCATTTTCTTTCTTTTATCTGAAATAGAAATAACTCATGTTGAAAATGCAGCCTATGTATACTGGCAATTAAAAACAAATCAGGAAATCACTGTGCTATATTAAATCATACGTGCCTAGTTATGATTTAACATGTTGGAGAATGAAAACAAATTCCACCCTATTTTGTGATAGTGATAACAGTGATTTATTTAGTGATTTATTTATTTCTTTATTAAGATTGATTGGTATACATACTTAATGTCTTCAGAGCTCCAGATTTTACTTCCTGTAAAGGATTATTTTAGCTGAAGTGTCAAACACTGCTTTTGTAAACACTAGGCATCTTATTCAGAATAACATTTTTTTTTTCCATGCTTATACCATTCATGTATGCATCCAAAGATTCCGGTGGTGAGTGAAATTATTGGGATCCCTTCTAACTAAATATATAGTTCCTGTTTACAGCAATGTTCTAGGTAAGTTAAAATGAGAAGTCTTCGAAACCAGCCAGCTTTGCTTTTTTCAGATGCAAGCATGGTGTCTTGCAATTGGCTGTGCTTCTTCAGTAAAAAGGCAGCAAGAGGAGACATTGAAAACAGAGAGAATTTGAGAGAAAGGGCATGTGGTGACCTAACAGCACACTGGGTGCAAATTCTGCTTTTGGTTTACACTGAAGCAACCATGCTGAAGTCACTACTGCTGGAATTAAGCCTTGCTTATCCAGATGATCAATAAACAAAAAGTAATTGATGCTACAGAACCTCAAAGTGGAGGAAATAACCAAAAAATGCTGATGTGGGCTATTCAGACCAGTTTCTTGGCTGTTCACATCAAAGCAAGTTAATTCACTTGTTTTTTTACAGAACTGTTTCAGCTGTTGCTTCTCTCTCTAAGCAGTGAGATTATGTAAAATATTTTCTATGAATAAGCACAGAGTCATGAGGCTTGGATCCAAAGAACCATTATACATGTAGTCTTGTTGATGAAGTCTGTCAGGGGGAATTAATACTGGAAAGGATGGTGCTTATTATTAATACTAGCCTCTGAGGGGATATTGAAAAGGGCCTAAGTGTAGATGGCAAATTCATATGACTGCAATACAATATGGCAGCAGAAAAAGGACATTGTAACTTGATGCTGCTCACAGAGAAGCTGTATCAGAGAGGAAGGAGAGAGCTGCGGAAAAGCGCCAATGCAAACAGTACCTGGAATTCCATTTTTAGCTTGCTGGCCAGGATGTATTGCTGGGTAGGGGTCATGCATAGAGCAGCAAAGTATCTGGGAAATATTTAAGAGAAGGCTGAAGTCTTAGAATGTGTTGTTTTGCTGAGAATGGCTGAAGAGAAACATACTTCAAAAGTAAAGATTTAAATGCAAAAGAAATGCAGGGATAACAATTGAACAACATATGAAGGGTCTCAATACAAGGGCAGCAATAAGAGCCTAGCCTCAGGGGCACCTCAGTGACTTTGGTGACTTAATATCCATTTTTCTCAGCTTTTAACATGTAGACTAGCTGCCAGGAATGAGTTGACTGCAGAAACTATCTCAGGTCAGTTGTGGTACCTGAAATTAGCCTGGTCAAACTATTAGGAATACAGACTGCCGAGGTTATGGCTTCAGGCATAGGCTGATTGTAGCAGGAACCATTGGAGCCTGTCTCAGTGAAGCTGGCGAGGCAGCCTGAGAGCTCGCGCACCAGTGAAGCCCCTCGTTCTTTGGGTGGTATCACTCAAGATGGACAGGGCCAACTTGCTGTGCAGGCAGAGCAGGCGGTAGCCAGCAGTAGCAGAGCCAGCAGCGTTGCCTATGCCAAAGGGCACAAGGGTTGTTTGTAAGAGGAGTGCATGCTGCATAAACAGCAAATTCCTGCCTCCTCCTCCTCCGCTCTGCTGCCAAAGAAGAGGGTGAGAGTTTGCCAAATGAAAGCAGTACTAATCCCTTTTACACAGATACCTGAAGAAAGCTCCACTGATTCATCTTGTCTTGACCCTCATATACCAGGACCTCTCCAGATTTGCCCAGCCCCACCATCCTGCCCCACTGTCCATTAACCGGTGTTAAGACTTTCAGTTGGCTGGTGTGCTGAGTTGCTTTGGTCTTCTCTGATGACCAGCTTCCTTACAACAACTTCCCCAACACCTTTTACTTCTCCCTGTACATTAAGTCGCTTCGTGGGATTTTATTTTACCACCCGAAAGGGAGATTAGTCACATGAGATTAATTTTTACTGCTCTGAAGGGACATCCTAGTTTGTTATAGCTGAATTTGTGTAGTAACTTTCACCTGGTAAAATTGGGCCCAGGCTAGGTCTGTGCAAGCCAACAGAACAGCTCAGGGGAAGTGAGTCTGTAGACCAAAATGATACTGAGTGCCTCATAGACATGCTTCATGCATTTGCAGGCTTTTGTACTCAAATCTCTTCTGATACACTCTGGAAGTTAAATACCCAGTAGCAATTGAAGTGCGACAGGCCTGCACCTTCTGGTTTAGTTCTGTCTGGAAGGAAATCTGTTCGTGCATTTTGAAGTGGCTCCACAACAGAACCCAAAGCCGAGAAAGTGGGGGTGATTTGAATTAAAACTCTGATGTGGATGCACCCTCAGGCATCTATGTTTTCAAAATATTCTTAAGAGCCTCTTCTAGGAGATTTGGTTTTAAAAATTCTTGGGAAAGAACAAATTGTATCTGTCAGTTTGCTTTTATCTACCATTGTATTAATTCTTTCAAAGAATTTTAATAGGATAAAGAGATGCATTTACTATTACAGCAGCTGAATTGTTTATTTCTTATCATTTTATATTAATCTGTGGTGGTTTGCAGCACTCTATTCAATTATTGTTCTCAGTTGTTTTTCTTTGCACTGAAATAAGAAGACCATAAACAGAGCCCACAAACACACTTATAATAATATTTACTGTGTAAAGCATCTCATTTCAATCTATCAAATGAAGAGTTTGTTTTATGATTGGAATTTGAAAGATCACTGCCAGCTTTTTTTGCCATCTGAATGTTTGTACCAGTTCGAACAGAGAGCACCTTGCAGAATAGATGGTGAATAAAATCTTCCCATTCAAAGAGACCAGGAGATTGGGTACAAGATCAGATTCCACATCTGGAAGATGTCTGTTTATCTTAGCATCTTTTCTGAGTCTAAGTGTAATTGCCGTGGTTCAGCAGGACAACAGGGAGTGTAAGCACAGAAAAGAGTGGGTTTCCTATGAAAATGTGTGAGGTGGTGGTGGGCATTGATAAAACTCAATAGACTTAGCAAGGATCTGCTACTGAGAAAGACAAAGTTTGAATGTCTCTTCTATGGGCCAAAACTGCGGAGAATGGAGAAGGGGCTCAGGAGCTGAGCTGCAAGAAAAGAGCCTAGAACTCTGAAGCAAGGACTTCTCTTCAATTTTGGGTTCATGCAATGGGACCATCTTTGCATCTTGTTATTCTTTCACCCTTTCTTTGACCTCTAGTGATCATATTAAACTAAACAAAGCTGACTCTCAGAAAGTTGAGATTTCCCAGCATATCCCTTTTCAGCAGCTAGAAGCTGACAGTGCAAGGGCCTTCTCTGTGTGCAACAAGACTCATTACAATGAAAGTCTATGAACTCTCGCTCTCCTACTGTGTGTTACCCTCATTGTAGATCACCTCAATGGCAACTGCAGAAACAGTAGTTCCTAAATAAAGGAAGCTATAATTGTGAACAGGAAAATAAGGGGAAATAAGTTGTTCTTTCGATGCAGGAGATGTCATAAAACGCAACAAGGGAACACTGGCAGTGGGTTAAATTTAAACTGCGGAGCTCTAGTAGATGCTGAGGAAGAGACAGCACAAAATAGGCTGGAGTAAAAAGCATAGTTAATCCAATAGTACCATCTTCCTCGTGCGTTTTACAAGGGGACAAATAATGAATTTTGATTTTTTTAGGTCTGACGAAGCCAAATTCTAGAAGAAGTCAAGGTTATTCCTAGTTTCTCTCCAGCAACAGGAATGTTCATCTGATACGATATGATCTCTCTTTCCCATCTACAATGCACAATGGAATCCTCTTTAGCCATATTTTAAAGGTATTAGTGAAAGCATGAAGACAACTGGAAAAATTGTGAAGAGAAAGTGCCAAACCAAATGAAGTAACTTCTTTAGAAACATTCTTAAGCAAAGCTTCAAGTGCAACTCAGGACATCATGTAGGGGAAATAAGATACTGGATAGAAGATAAGTTTTCTTCTGAAACATCAAATGAGATGGTGAATCAGCAAGATACAGAAATGTACAAATATTTGAGGCAGGAGGTGCTGCAGAGTAGTCTCTGTGAAAATTATATAGCTATTTACTTTTATACTTTCTGAATGAAACTGACTTTAGGTCTTTTAATACAGATGCACAAATAATCTTCTGGTAATTGTATTTACCTATGAATAGTAGGTTTAGAGCATGTTCCATTGTTAAAGACCGGGATCAATTGCTGCTTACCAAGCAAGTTATGATTTTTGAAATGTATATCTTATTTATTTATAAAATTCTGGCTTGATTAGGATGTAAAAAGATTTTCTTTTTTTCCCCCAGACAAAAATGTCAGAAAAGAAAAAAATAAAATACAGACTATTTATTTCAAAAGCGTAAGTATTTTATTTTCCTGAGAGGTATTGCTCTGTGAGGTTGCAGTCAGAGGCATGACTGAAGAGAGATGAAATTCTGGATTGACTGAAGGATGTTGATAAAATGCAACCAGTTCTATGACATGAGGTCCAAACAGCTTTGTATCACTAGATGCCTGAAACAAGTAATAAAGACAAACTAAGAAAAGGATAGGAAGTGCATACAAAATAAGATTGACCAAAACCAAAGCAAGCTCCCCCTGGGTTACTGGAGTTTGTGTTGGTGGTGTTTTTTTTTTTTTTTTTTTTTTTTTTTTTTTTTTTTTTTCCTCCTTTTAAATTAATATTTATTTATTTATTTTATTTCTTGGCCTATGAAAAAATATATCAGTCTTCCGGCTATATTCCTTCCGAAGTATTCCATTGCCTTTCTGAGAAAAACAGCTCTAAACAACCTTGGACTGTATAAAACAATTTGAAATGAATCAGCTAACATTCATATTTTGGAACAGTTCACAGAAATGTTGACAAGCACTGAATTCTTTCAGCAGGTTTCTGATTTGACGGATTTGGGTCTCTACACAGAGTTGTGGGGTTACAGATAGAAGTCTCTTTCTCTTTTTGCAGCAATCCAAATTGGCTGTTGCCATTGTACCTGCAGCTCTTACATTTACAGAGAGAAGGATAGAAAATAGAAGCCTGTGAATTGAGGAAAAAACAGACAAGCTAACTTCACTAGGCTGCAAAGGAATCTGTAGCCTGATAGCCTAAGCAGGAATCTAGTGTAATAATTCAGGCATTACAAATGCTCAGTAAAAGAATAGTCAAAATAAGATACATAGTTGTGTGAAGGTTTTGGTAGAGAAAGTAGCAACAACAACAACAACAATAATAATAATAATAACAATAATAATATAAACTGGCTTGGAAGGTGTGGAGGTGCTCATATGGTCCACCTTTGGAAAATGGCCTGAATAAAAGCACCTGTAAGGTATGGTAGTGACAATAAACAGTGTGTATGCATATGGAGTATCCATGGCTTGTAGGGTATCTGCCCCAGCTATCTGCCCTAACCTAGTCACATTAAAGAGGAAGGTGATCATTATCTGGATCAAACAGGATGAAAATCTGTAATGAGGGGAGAGACCATTGAGTAGAAACCGTGGCTGAAACTACCTGATTTGATGGGGTGAGATTCATCCCGTTGACACCGTGACCTCTGTCCAGGCCAGGCAGTGAAGCCTGGCATCTAGGCTTTGGGCAGCCTGCACCCAGCTGGGGGCTGACGGCATGGGGTGCAACAAGCAGGGACTCACTCTCAGGGCTGTTTTTGCCCTCCTGGGTGCTTTCCCATCGGTATGTGCAATAGTGGGTTGTAGGCAGCAACCCATTATCGCACTGCAAGGGGGAGAACTGGGGTTCCCAGGAGAGGGGTGCTTGTAACGCAACCCCCAGAGTGTGCGTGTAACGGGGAATGGGACATCTTGTTATTAGTCAGAGAAGGGTGTTTGGAAGCTTGCAGGTCTTTATTAGCATTTTGTAACTATATAGTATTGCTTTATCTCTTTTATTACTGATCCCAATCCTGAATATATAGTTCACTAATTACGAGTTATTTATCACACTAATAAATCAATATAATTGGAAGGGAGGAGAAATCTCTTCCATTTCATCAGTAGGAGAGGATGTAGGTTTCCACAGAGGAGTGGATAGGCAGTAGTAATGCAAGTGGAGCAGCAGAGGTGGATTCACAGCCTACACAGAAGCAAAAATCTAACCAATAAAAGTCAGGTTCATGGTGATGCTCCCTGTTGGGAAAATGAAGTAGACAGGTAGGACCTGGCGAAATTGAGGACGAGCCCCACAGAAACACTTTTTCACACATTTTGGTGGGGATCTCAGCAAAGGGAGTAAAGATGAAACCAGAGATTTGTCTGGACTAGGTGGATAGCCAATATTAGGGAGCTGTCTTTGAAAGCATTGGGAAAGGGCTCATGAAAGGTAGTTTGTAAATGACAGGAAAGGGCAGAGATGGAAAGGCTCATTTAGACATTCACATGCAGAGATGAATATCCCAATGCTTCACATGGTTTGGGGGAGGGCAAATATCCCAGGTATGGATATAAGCAGTAACAGGTTTCTTCAAAAAACACAACCTGTGTGACCCTTTATATGCCACTGCTGCGTCCTTCAACATCTCTGAGTACAAATCTCTGGCAAGAAGGCTAGGAACTGAACCCTGAAAGAATTACAACAATGTGGTGATTTTCAAAAAAATTAAACAATTAATGGCATCATTGGGAATATACCAATAGAAGAACTTTATGGCCACAGGATTTATGGGATGCTTTAATATTTACATGGTGATATTGTTTATCATACTTATATTGTAGTTACTCCTGCTTCAAAATCTCTCACTTTTAATAACCTCTGTGGATTGCTGGCTACACTAAAATATTACATTCTTGGATATTTTGTAGCTTCACCCGACTCTACCAACCACAGAGGAAACCTTTTTCTTTAAATTGATGTTGATCAGAAAATAATGAAGGCGTTCATGATCGAAATAAATTAGAAAATATTAATTTTCTATTATAAAACTGTTTGAAATTTATTTTGTATGTGCTGATTTGGAAATATGAAATCGCTCACTGGGAATTTCAGTGCAATTTCTTAGTGTGACAGGATAAATATAATCGATAAATACTTTTTCTACCATTTTCAAGTCATCCAGTAACAAGCAATGCCCCTTTGGTGTCGTTTAACTTTGAGAAGGCTTATCTCTATGAAAACATGTGAGTGTGAACATTGAAAGTTATTTCCTTCACTAGAATGCTGGAGGACAGTGAGCTTTAAATTGTGGAGGAAATTTTTGAAGGAAAACATAGGATTCTAATACTTTAAAAAACTTTAATAGAAAGTTATGATTAGATAGGTAAAATAACAAACCTAATTAAAAAGATTGGTTCATAGTTTCACATATTCTCAAAAATCTAATGTCAAACTGGCAGTGACTTGAGTATTGTTAGAAGAAGTTGTTTCAGCATGACTTTTGGCACCTTTTGTTCTGTGTCTGATACTTATATGAGTTGAACACTTTTTTTCCCTTTACCAGTATTATAAAAAGTTTGTTAGTTTTTATAGCTCTTCCCTTCCTATCATAAATTAAAAGGCTTAGGGAGGAGTTGCTCCCTCGAGTTACTTCTGAAGTTCCGAAAGTTTTGGCACAGATGGCTTCTTAGCGTTCAATAACTTTCCAAAGAATACGAGCTTTCTGAGAGACCTGCAACAGCTTCATCCTGTAACTTCGGAACTGCATTTATTGTTCCAGGGAGGAGTTGCCTTTCAATTTGGCACAGGGCAGTGTGGTCTGATCAGTGTTGTCAAGTGTTTGCTGCTCGCAAGTTATTGTAATGGGTCAGTGGCCAAGAAAAGTTGCTATGGTAAAGAATTGTTTTGATGAAAAAAAAATAAATAGGGAGGAGGGCAGCACAGACCTACCACCAAGAATAACTCTGTTGTGATGATGTATTATGGATCAAAAAAAATATAAATACTAGGTTAGTAAACTGGCAGTTCTGATGGCAGTGGTGATGTAGAGGAAAAAACAAAAAAGGTTACAAGAAAAGGGAAAGGAGGAGGCTCAGGAATTTATAATGACGTGATGAAAAGTTTAATTTTTAGATGAGAACTTTAATTAATCTCCCATTGGTAGTGAGTGAACTGTAGCATATGAATGCTAGTATTTGAAAAGGTAGACCAAACTTTGCGAAAAGCCTAATGAAACTGCCACCAATTCTTACGTAGGTTTTGAGCCCTCAAAGCATTATTTTTCATGGGAATTTCAGGGCTTTATCCTGTGAATAATTTAGTATTTTTTCTCTACTAAAACAGATAAGCTCCATCCTAAAATTTCTAGGTTTCTCAAAAGTTAATGAGGTGGTCATCTTTGGGATTGCTGCACCCCTCTTCCCCCGCCTGAATCACACACACAGAATTTTAGCCAGATACACAAACCATCCTCTTTAATTCAGCTTTGGTAGTGAAATGTATATGACTGGAGAGTGCTCCTTCTTTGAAAATATTTTCTTATGGGATGGAGAGCCATGTCTGATACACTGACTGCTTGCTTGGATATCTGTGCAAACCAACATTCACTCAATTTGCTGTCAGTGGCTTGAAGTCATGCACAGCCTTATTGAATGTCATGAAAATGAGATGAAAATGCATTGATGCTTTGCTACTGTATTTTTTTCCAAGCCATGTCAACCTTCAATGGAGAATGTGAGGAAGTAGGAGGAAGATGTCCTTACCTCAGCTGGTAGGGTGCAAGTGGTGCCCTGGGGTTTGGCACTTACCAAGTGGCACTGCAGGGGAGCGCGTCTTCTCCTGACATGCTCAAGTCATGTAATGAACATCAGGAAGGGGAAAGGAGGCACCCAGGCCAGAGGGGGTGGGGGATTTGGTTGGCCAGGACTTACACAGGCAGGTTCCAGCTCTGGAGTTACGGCAGGAATCTGCAATGGATCTTCCACCTGTCAGCTGCAGGAGTTGGGGGACTTGGAACGAGAGGTTGGGCACTGAACGCAAGAGAAGTACTTTAGCTGCCAAGAGTGTAATGTTTATTATTATCACTGCTGTGGTGCAGCAGTAGATAAAGTGGACCAGTATCCACACAACTGAACAATAAATAAATAAATTACCAGTAAAACCCTGTTTTTACACAATGCTCACCACCCATAGATTTCAAAGTTCTTCCCAAAGCAGGCTGACATTATTATCCATATTTTTTCAGAAGGGGCAGCTGTGGTAGAAGACAAGGAAATGCCTTCTCCATGGTTATACAGCAAAGCAGGAATACACCTGGGACTAGGACACAACCCTCCAAAATGCCAGTTTGAAACCATGCACGTGAGAAACTCTGCCTTCCCACATATGCTGGTGGCCTGTTTTTACACAAGGAGAGATTTGCCGTTGTTG